GGATTGGTGGTTGTTAGATTGGTTTCTTTTTCTTATTGCGACATGTTTAATTTGATGCATCCAACAAAAATCATCAACTTCCGATGGACCTTGGATCTAAGCATCTAATTCTCCATCCTGGTTTAAAATTAAAGAAGGCTTTCGAGGGTTCGAGACGTGTGATGAGCCGCAAAGATTGACCATGATGTTAAACATGAAAAAATTTCAGGCGAGGTAAATATATTAACACCATTTTCAAACTAGAACCCCTTGTATTAAATCACTAGCACCGGGCCCGGCCCCTTGGCCGGGAAAGTCTAGACAAAAAATATGTTCATATAACATGCTTACAATATAATAGGAAGATACGACATATCACTGAAAAAAGAAATATAATTGTTCAAAGAAGAAAAGAAAAACATACAAAATAATAGGTTTTCAATACTTAAAAATGGCAAATAGTTCAAGATTAGAGTTGTTTTTCCTAAAACATACATAATGAACCCTCAGAAGGAAAGAAAAAGATTGGTCTCTAACAGATTTTAGGAATGAGATCATTTGTAACCCTAATTAATGTCTAACAGATACACCCATATTATTCCTCTTCATAGAAAGTAGAATAAGGATCAGCTGGTTTGGAAGCATGCTAGTCGTAGTCCCCGAAGATGCCTAGAAAATAGTCCGGGTTCTCAAGAGAGCTTCAAACTTAAGGCTGAGTGCAACTAATTTTGAATTACATATGTTTGTCTTTGTCAGTGTTGCTGATACTTTCACTGACTACTTTGATTGGTAAGTTGACCATAAATAATAGGGATATACCTTATTTTGACCTTGAAGTTTGTCGTAAAAGCCAAACTTGACATGAACTTGCAAATAAGACAGTTTTTCAAAATTTTGAAAGAAATGGACAAATTTGGACTGAAATTTATGTTGTTCGTTAATATTAAAAGTTAAAAATTTCTTCATCCATTCAACATACAATGCTCAGGTGGTTGCGATTGCGATGTGGCTTCCATGTCATAGGGATGATACCTTATTTTGGCATAAACTTGATGTAAAAGACAATTTTGGCTCGAATTTTCAAATAAGATAGGTTTGTTTGCACTTTGAAAGAAATGAACAAATTTGGTCCGAAATTTGGGTTGACCTTTAATATTGACAGTTGTGATAGAGAGGTTTCGGTTGCGATGTGGCTTCCAAGTCATTTATTTATAAAGTCTAAAAAAGTGAATTTTTCAGAAGAAAAAAAGACCACAAAATAGGACCCTTAGTATATCCTAATATTTTCATATTTACTTGCATAAATCATATTAAAAGGAAAAAGAAATTGATTCAGGCCTCCAAAAATCCCAAAGCACGAAACTATCTCTCTTTGTACCCCTCTCATCAATATTAATGGCAACCTAAATTTTGGGTCAAAGTTATTCATTTCTTTGAAAATTCGTACAAAACTGTCTTATTTGAAAGTGTAGGGCAAAATAGCATATTATACCTATGACGTGAAAGTCACACCACAGTCACCTTAACATTGTATGTTGAGTCATAAAAAAAAAGAAATGTTTGACCCTCAATATTAATAATCGACCCAAATTTCGGGTCAAATTTGTTAATTTCTTTCAAATTCGGACAAAACTATCTTATTTGAATGTTCATGCCAAAATTGTTATTTACATCAAAGTTCAACACAAAATAGGATATTATCCCTAAATAATATAGGAGTACTAAAAATATTGGACTAATGAAGTTCAAAATGTTTCAAACAACATACAACCCTGATAAAACTGCAGTCCAACCAACTAACATTTAGAACAAATGACTTTCCAGCAGGATAACACAACTATAAGTATGGGTGGTTCTATCATATTTTGATTAAGAAAATGACATAAGGAAATGATATATAGACCTTGAATGATATACTCTGAGTATGAAAATGATGTCTAGTGGCCGGAGCTAGGGACATGGTACTATACCTTAAGCCCTTACAGATTAAAATCTAGGTCTTAATTCTATGAAGCTCATATACTAAGATCAATTTTATTAGAAACAATAATCGAAGGTCGTGTTTCATCAAAATACATCAAAAAAATTATGTGCATAATCTTAGTGTTTAGGGCAAGGATTGAAAACCCTTAACGTACCGGGGGTTCGACTAAACCAGTAGGCACTATGTAGTGTTGTGAAACGACTGAATCACGGTTAACCACAGTTTTCGCATAAAATACCCTCCTGCCGACTTTTTCGGTACAACCTCTGATGAGGTTTTATAATCCTTGGTTTAGGATCTATGATTTAAATAGTTAAGACCTAGAGTTCACTCGTCAAGGGTTAGAATATAGTGTCTCGTCTCGAAATCAGGTTAATTCAAAGTCTAGATTGCCATTTCTTACCAAGGGTATGAGTTACCTTTTGATTTTACTCAAAATATGATAGAAAACACTACACACACACATACTGGTATACTACAGGAGTATAGTATACTGGTATACTCCACATGATCTAGACATTAGATGTACTTTGTTGAGCTCCAATCAATCTCAATGGTCAATTATAATTTTCCATTAAATTAAACTTTGGGTTTGAGTTTAGAGAATCGGGGCCTGTGGTTTATCCATTAGAGGTTAGGGTAGAGTATCATACCCCAAACTCGGTTAAAAATCGTGGTCTAGATAGAGATATCTCACGAAGAGTACCTGAAGTATAATATACTCCAGGAGTACACCAGTCTGACCCATATATATGTGGTTGTGTGTGCACATATATATTTAATATTGTAATTTGATATGCAATATTCGAATAAATGATATTTGGATTGCGGTTTTAAGATTATCCTCCATTTATAAGATAGACTACCATTATTATTGAAGTCAAAATAAAATAATAATAAATGATAATCAAAGATCCAACACTAAAAATGCTTAAGAAAGACTTAGTGGGGTAGCTAACTGTGCTGGAAAAGTCATTTGATTTTCAGAATTTTGCCTCTTGTATGTTTTTTTTATAAATAAATGCAACAAATTTGTTTAGTCTTATTGGTTATGACTCTTGTCCTTGTTAGAAGAGACCCGGGTTCAAATCTTGACACTAATATTTTTTTCAAATAAAAAAATAAACAATTGCAATGACGAAAGTACCCTTCCTACTTTCACTCTCGTTGCAGAAAATTTGAAATGGAAGAAAGTTGAGTCATGAATCTCCATCATATATCTTATAGATAGATAGATGGCTACCACTGTGTAAAACTTGGTTTCAAACTTATTCTCCGTAGGTTAAGGGACCAAATCCTGAAGGAAGAAATTGAGGAAACCTAACCATTGACCAAGTAATGATTAAGCAATCATCCGGTAAACATTATCGTGAAGGTTGGAAAACAATAATAATACACCTTAACGATGACAGCTCCGACCTAAATTCATTGACTATTTCGGATTTCCTATCCCTGTAGTGTAATCCAAACACGAGAAATTTTACAATGCTATATAGTATTGGTGCTATAGGTTTTTGCCTTTATGGTACAACTTAAAATTGTACATTTACGTTATGGTACAACTTCAGATTGTACCTATACTTTTTGTACAAATTCTTTTATGGTACAACTTGAACTTGTACCTTTATATGATGGTACAATTTCAAGTTGTAAAGTTGTACCATAACATAATGGTACAAATTGCTTTATGGTACAACCTAAACTTATACATTTAATGTTATGGTACAACTTTGAGTTGTACATTAAAGCACCAATACTATATAGCATAGTAGAAGTGCTCATCCAAACACAAAAATGAAAAGCATTTGACCATTACAACGTGGAGCAGGTTAAGGTTCGATAGAAACCCCATAACCAAAACCAAAAAGGAAATGGCAAATATCGAGTAGATTATAAAAGGAACCCACCACTTCGTTGACATTACATTAGACGCCATTCCAGAACCAGAGCACAACCACCCTCATAAGAAACTTCTTCCTTTTACTCGCGCCAAACCCCCTAAACCGCGTCCTTTTCCAGTTTTCTTTTGAACAAGTAAACAACCCCGCAACACCCAAACCCCCCTTTTTAAAAAACAGGATCAACAGACCAGAGATAGCAGCCAGCTAAACCCCCATCCTTTTTTTTCTCTCCGGGTAGACAGCTTTTTGTCCTCTCTCCTTCCACAATCGCCAACCACCAGAATCTCCCGCAAAAGATCGAAACTTTTATTTAAGAACCAGACAACCCACATCCATTAAATCCTTCTTCTTGTTGCTTCTTGTCCAGAGGGAGGGAGGGGAGAAGGAGAGAGAGCTTTCATCATCATGTGTCCGCTCCGTTTCATCTTGGTCTTCTTCTCGGCGGTTCTCGCCGGCTATTTCGCCTGGAGGACCGTCAACGCGTCTCCCGATGCCTTCGCTGAGCCTGACGTCTCCAACGATTCAACGGTTGATGCCAAGAAGCAGGAAACCAATATGATCAAGGTAAATTGATTTGTTATGACTTTTACCTTCCCCTGCGATTTTCAGGAAGAAATCCCCTTTTTTTTCTTATTGTTGCCCTTTTTATCTCCAGATGATTCAGAATGGTTTCTGGGTATTCGTGGACATGGCCAGCGGAAGATACCTGTGGAGAAACTTCAAGGAAATGAAGACACAATGAGCGAGCTGATTGAGACTTGAGAGCTTACCCAGCCTTGTTTTCGCCACAAGGAGAAAATGATCATCGTTCATCAACTTGTCCCTGGAGCTGTTCTTTTCTTCTCTTTTTGTTGTCTTTGATTAGTAGTTTGCCATTTGTAGCTACCTGCATAAGAAACGAGAGAGAGAAAAGAAACAATCTTTATAATTTGTTGATTCTATTCTTGCTGTCTGGTTATGGAAAGATTTGAATTAATGGAGAGACTGCATTTTGCCACAATCTACAATGTCGACTGATTAATGACTTTACTATTCTTCAGCAATCTCAGTTACAGATATAACTACATTCTGGCATATTTGACAATACAACAAACGGGTATCAAATCACATTTCAACAAATAAACTGTATATCGAGAACTCAGGATATGTAAGGTAACAATCTTTGTCTGGCAGACTTCAAGTCATAAATCTGAACATGAATCGATTACACTGCATTCATTACATCCAGTAATTCATATATACAATATTCTGGGGAGGATAAGCAAGGCATTGTTATATCAGCCTCAGCTCAATGGGCATGAATCAATCAGTTTCTGCACTACATCCAGAATCCCATATGTACAACATTCAGGGAAAGCACTCTTTATATCACCCTTCAGGTCAAGTCCACTTGGAGCTTGATGGACATGTACAGAAGTGTAAGGACAGCACCCGTTGGGAGAGGGGCATGGCGAGCAAGATTGGAGGCAACCCACATGGCTACCACAGTCACAGTAACCATACTGCTGCTAGTCTTCCCGCATACCCAACTTGCAAACTGGATGCACAAAGCAAGCAGAACCCCATTTCTTCCACCAAGAATCCATGCAACCAAATGACCGATTTTGTATCCAGCATCCAACTTTGGATCGAATAGAGCCATCAAGCTGCTGAATGTAACAGAGACTCGAGGTCCTAACGTCTGGAGCAAAAACAGAGACAAAAACGCAGACCTAAGCACTTCAGCAAAAGGTCCTCTTTCTTGATTCACTTCTTCAGCCATCTCATCTTCAGAGGAAGAGTCGTATTCTTCATTGTATTGCTCCCAGTATCTTTCTTGTTCCATCCTCCGTTTCAGTTCAGCCCACCTGTAGATTCTTTCCCGATCTTCAAATTGAGGGCTGTAATACTTGTTTCCTCTATATGCTGTATCGTCATTGAATCTTAATACTCGATCGTACTGTGTTCTTGTCACTTCATTTGACAGGGTCTGAATACACCAAAAGATGCAACTTTAGAAAAATGGAACGTCCTAATTGAATAGCGGCATTCTCCATGAAGAGCGTTAAGATGTTTGGTAATCCAATAGATCGAGTTATATATAGGGAATGCTCACTTCATATGCTCGGCGAATGCTTTTGAACATCTCACCAGCCTGTGAATGCTTGCTAACATCAGGATGGTACTGTATTTGAAACACATTAAAGAGCAAACAATCAGGAGATTCTCAAGCCCGCATCAGCGTTCATTACACACTACATAAACTAAGTAGGAAATGTTAAAATCTGTCATTTATAAGCCGAATACTTTATCCAACTGAGGAAGCTAAACATTATAATTCTCAAACAATTGTCGAACTCATAGACGGAACATTAAGAGCTGCTGAAACTATCTTCCCAAGAAAGCACAAACTCGGAATATCACAGAACAGACAACAATGTAATCCTCGTCGATGAGGCAGTTGAAAAGCGATAAAAAAAAACCGAAAACCCTATCAACTATTGCATTGGGTTTCAATTGATATCACTCACAAACAATTTTTCCCCCAATTTCAACTACATTATCATCATCTAAAATCGGGATCCGAGTTCCAAATTAACTAGCCGCAATAACCATAGCAGAGGAAATTTTGGAGTTATGGGAAATGTTCGCTTGATCGTGAAAGCAAGATTCCGAAAAGCGTGAAACGAAAGGACAAGAAAAAAAAATTCACCTGGCGAGCAAGAAGGCGATAAGCTTTTTTTATGTCTGCGGAGGAGGCGGTACGATCGATTCCGAGCACGGAATAATAATTCTGGTGACCGTTGATCGCCGCTTCCGCCCCCGAAGACGACGACTGCGACGAAGACACAGCCAGTGGATAACGGTTCCGCGTTCGGCGACGGTGGAACCAGCGGCTCCATGGTGAGCCGGCGACGAGGGAGGAGAAAGGAACAAGAATACTGTCGCAGAAAGAGGAGGCGGTGGGGAGGGATCCCACCAGGAGCTGAGCCTGCATCACCAACGCTGGTTCATGAGGTCGCGGCCGCCGCGGCCCTTAGCTTTGCTCCGGAAACTCCAACGACCGATGGGATATTTTTTGGGGGGGAGAAGGCTGAGTGGCTGTGGAGAGGAGAAACTAGAGAGTAGAGAGCGCCAGAGCAGCTTCAAGTTCAGCCAAATGTATGAAACGACGCCGGAGGAGAATGTAGAGGGTAATTAAACAATACGGTCACCCAACTTATCTTTATGCAACAGTTTAGTACTTTAATTACAGTTTTCTGCTGTTAGATAAAGTTGGGTACTATGGTCTACCGCCAAGGTTAGAGTGCTAACATTCAATTTGCTAATATTGTGTCAACATTAACTCCAGCCAATAGGAACATTTTTTTGTTTTATAATTTTTTATTTTTTAAGGGGTTGACCACAATTAACACGTTTTTAAAGGGAGGGGCACTCTCATTTCAAAATTATAAGGGGAACACGCATGTAGCACTCATTTATTTTGTATCCCGTCCTTATAACAAGAAACATATAAGAAAATACATACCATAAACACAATAAATCACACCACAAATAACACAAAGTAGACCAGGATACTTCTAAAACATACCAGAACCTAACCACAACACAAAATGCATAAAGCATACTAGAAAACTCAAAGTTGAATACAGGTTCACTGAAGCATACCAGAAACTTCATAAAGACGACAACAAGTTTCATGAAGCATACCAGAATTTCATAAATACAACACCCCCAATCGACGCCCAAGCATAATTAACGACCGGGTGTAGCATAGAGTAAGCAAGCAATAAAAATTATCGAACCACGACGATCTAAGCTTACCTTACTTCGGCTTGATATTTCGTTATCTAGCCAATTTAGAATAGTGATTAAGAAAACTAAACTAACTAACCTAGCTAATTACAAGTTGTGGAGTTCTCTTAGCTTGAATCCCCCTAGTTTCGTCATTTGGATCTATGTTGAGTACCATCCTAACTCGATCGACTCACTACCCTACCATTATGAGATCGACTCACTCGGGATTTACCCGAAATGGTGAAGTGATAGATGGGTAGTTCTCTATTCAACCCATGGATTCATATATCGTTAGGAGGTGGATTGAATCCATTTCCTCGAGGATTACCCGGACGACATATGATAGGAGTGACCCGAAGACGCCAATAATGGGCTCTAAGGGGATTATCTTCCTCTTAGGTCAAATGCTCAATAGACATGAAGTGGAATCCAAAATCATGCAATTCTAAAAATCATCCATCAAATAGATAAAATCATCAATCAAACATAGAATATGTAACATACATCAACTTCAAACCAAAATCTAGATCTAGGATTCATCAATCTAAGAGAAAGAGGTCTAGTTCATAAAAAAAGGTGAGAGATTACAAAATAGCTCAAGATCTTCATCTTATAGGCTTGAATCCTTGACTTCAAGATCAACCCAAGCCTTCAATTAAACTCCAAGATCACTCTCTCTAGATCTCCTCTTTGGTGTTTTGGGTCGAAACCCTATAGAGAGAACCAAGATCTCCTCCAAAAACCAGCTCACCTTTCTCTCTCTCATCTGCCTTATATTTATACTACTTGAGCGCCAACATCACGAGCTGAACATCACGGCCGTGACATTGACAGCCCGCCCGTGATCTCGACCGAAGATACAGCCTTTTTCTGCCGCTTTATTCCAACTTCTTCACAATTGTCACGGTCAGTGACCGTGAAAATGAACCTGCCCGCGAGGCGTGCAAACTCTCCTTGATATTTGCAATTGCCACGCCCTGGCTCTATTGTCACGGGCCTACCGTGATAATCACGTCCAAATCGTGATCTTGGCCTTTTCTATACTTTTTGCGCTTTTCGACCTCCAATCGTCCCAAAACTCGTCCTCAGCCTTTCCACACGTACTAGGACCTGAAATATAACAAAAGATGCACAACCTAGCGTAAAATATGTTGAGGGACGATAATTACCAAGTCAAACGATCAAGAAATGAAGGGTAAAATATGTGTAATTATGCCCGAATCAAAACCGGCCACGCGTTCCCTGAAGTATACCAAAAACCTCATGAAGTTGAGCACAAGTTCACTGAAGCATATTGGAAAGATCATAAAGTCGATAACAAGTTTCTTAAAGCATATTAAAAACCTCATAAAGCCAACACAAGTTCCCTGAAGCAAACTAGAAACCTTATAAAGCTGACCACAAGTTTTTTGAAGCAAACCGGAAATCTCTTAAAGTCGATCACAACTTTCCTGAAACTTACCAAAAACCTCAAAATGCTTACCACAAGTTCCCTACAACATACCAGACACCTCATAAAGCCGACCGAGGTTCCCTAATGCAGACCGGAAATATGTGCAACTAAGTTACAAGTCTCAGGAAGCAGACTAGGAAAACAAGATAGCACACCATAAAACTCACGAAGCAAACGAGAAAATGTTGTAAAGGATAACAAGGTGATAAAAAAACAATGGTGAAATAATATTCTTTTTACAAGTAACATATTGGTTTTTACACAATGAGATAAGTGGAGGTGGGGTAGAGAGTAGGGATGGCAAAAATATAGGTGACAATGGATATCCGTCCGAATCTGACCTAATCGGGTAGGATAAAACTCCAACTCGAAGGACTTTTAGTGGGTATGGGTAAAACCCGAACCCGAATATTGCGAGTAATGGGTGGGCATGGTTTTCTCATTATCCAACCTGAACCCGCCCGATTATACATATGCATATGTATTTTGTCTAGAAATAATCATTATTTTTCTCCAATATATTTTACATTAGGATATAAATATAGGGTATGTCTACTATGACATGCATGTCACGGTGACATGCACTTTTCGGTCGACCTATTCCTGAAGGCGGTCGACCGAATTGACTAATTTGGGCAGCACGAGAAAGCATTGCGGTCGACCTCAACGACCACCTGGTCGACCGCACTTAGTTTAAGTTGTTATTTTTGGTCGACCAGAATAAAACCTCGGTCGGCCATTTCGTTGGCGTCAGAAACAACATGGTCGACCACCTAATATATAGGTCGACCAGATAGAAGATAAGTGTTCTATCAAAGTGTCCAATCATTTGACGTAAAATGAAGATCAAGTGTTGGTTTCTCGGTCGACCTAATCCGGTACGAGATCGACCGAATACAAGAAAGTCAACCTATGCCCCGTGTCTTTTTTGCTTATGTATGTCGATTTGTGTGGTTCTTTTAATCGTATAAATTATGTTTCAAACCATCATAATTAGTCATAAATAATTATAACAAGGACTCATCAATTCATAGCATAACAACTAAAAATAAAATAGAAATCATAATTGTTCACACATAAAAATAAAACTAAAAAAACAACAGAATAACAATCAACAATCGTTTTGACCACTAAAACACACAATATAAAATCTCCTCTCTCCTACTCATCTCCCCCCTCTCCCTCATCCACATTTTCTTCATTTTCTTCATTGATGGTGCTAGCATGATGGCGGTCGGATGTGGTGGGATGCATGTATCTTCCGCTGAAAGATCGCCACTCATCTCGCATCTCATTCACGGTCACCTGCATTGTGCTCATCTGGGCGGTCATTTGCCCCATGTAGTCGTACATGCCAGTCATCTGGGTGGACATCTGGCCCATGTACTCGTACATGTCATCCATGCGCTCCCACACACGCTCTAAGGTGATCGGTGGAGTTGAAGTCTGTGCCTCCGCCATTGGCTCGTCTCGAGGTCCTTCATCACCATCATCATCCTCATCATCATCACCACCATGAGCATTGTTTACTCTGACATACTCACCATTACGCAGCTCAAAGCCCATCTTTTTCAGAGATGAAACAGTATAGAACTCCTGCCTTGAGATTCTTAACCCCACCTCTTCACTTAAATTCACATTAAAATGCTCAAATATCACAGTGAGGATCATCCCATAGGGAAGATTCCTGTTTGAACTCTCTGCAGCAGTAAGCATGTGGTTAAAGATCAAGTATGACAAGTTCACCTTCTCGTTTAACAGTAGGTTGGTGAGGAGCTCCATGTCGAAGTAGGTGACTGTCTCCCGATGTCCACCCTTTGGCAGAATGTTGTAGGAAAGCATGTGGTGAAGAACTCTGGCTTGAACTGTCAGGTGGTTACTCGTTGGCCTATTGCGCCCCTGAGCATCTTCCTCTTCATCAAGACCACATACCATCTGGATTTGCTTGGCTCTCGTGAAATGCGTTTCATTCCAAGCACCATAAGAATGGATTCTCTTCCCCTCGTTTGGAGCCTCCAGTACTTGCGCCAACACATTCTTGCTGATGCGCATCGCCACCCCATTCACATAGGATTTGAATGCGTGAATGGATCCATTTGCATTGCGCTCGTAGACGATGTTGTTGTAGAATTATTGTACCAGTTTTGGATAGTATGGTACATTGAGTGATATCACCTTCAGCCACTCCTGCTCGATGAAGGGACCCAGAAACCCGTAATTCTCGAAATGAGAATACGCATCCGTCATCAATGGCCTTCCCGGAGCCACCCTGCGGTTGTGCATTCTCTTCTCTTCATAGTTCTCACTTTGCTCCTTGGTCTGGAACAGATTGGGATTGAACTCTTCCCATTCCGAACTTGAGGCAGCAGCTTTTTGTGCCTTTCTTTTCTTTCTGCCGCCAAACATCCTGCGATCAAACAAGCAAGAATACACGTTAGTCACATTTTTGAAATGAACAATACGCGGTCGACCACTCCATAAAGCGGTCGACCTCAGTTAATTTAAAACGAGAATGGGTCGACCTCAGAAGAATCATAGGTCGACCTCAGTTAGTTTAAAACGAGAATGGGTCGACATCAGAAGAAGCATAGGTCGACCTTAGTTAATTTAAAACGAGAATGGGTCGACATAAACCCGTAACAATTCAAGTAAAAAATTGCTTTCATAGGTCGACCTCAGAAGAAGCATAGGTCGACCTCGGAAAATTTAAATCGATTGAAAACCATATGTGACTTTCATCAGGAGTGCAGTTCAGGACATTAGACCACCTTGGAATGCACTCGAAGACACAAACGTCTGCTGCCTTCACCGAGTTATCCTTTGCAACCCTATGCCGATCACCGACAAGCAAAGGAGAACTCGGTGAAGGCAGCAGACGTTTGTGTCTTCGAGTGCATTACAAGGTGGCCTAATGTCCTGC